GACATACTTTGATACAAGCATACAATGTGTAATAATCACATCAGGATAAATGGGGTATCCATCACCTCAAGCATTATCCTTTATGTTACAAACAATTCAGTTATACTTTTAGTTATTTTAAAACATACAATTAAACTAGTATTGACTATAGTCACCTGTTGTGCTATCAAATACTAGATCTTAATTATCCCATTTGTTTGTATCCCTTAACCATCCCCACTACCGGCCTCCATGCTGCCTTTCCCCCAGCCTCTGATAAAGTCTCCATGAGTTCAATTGTTTTAATTTTTAGCTCCCACTAGTAACTAAGAACATGCAAAGATTGTCTTTCTGTGCCTGGCTTATTTAACTTAACATAATGACCTCTAGATCCATCCATGTTGTTGCAAATGACAGGATCTCATTCTTTTCTATGGCTGGATAGTACTCCATTGTGTATATGTACCACATTTTCTTTATCCATTCATCTGTTGATGAACACCTGAGTGGCTTCCAAATCTTGGCTATTGTGAATAGTGCTGCAACAAAGATGGAAGTGCAGATATATCTTCGATATACTGATTTCCTTCTTTTGGGTATATACCTAGAAGTGGAATTGCTAGATCATATGGTAGCTGTATTTTGAGTTTTTTGAGGAACCTCAAACTGTTCTCCATAGTGGTTGCACTAATTTACATGCCCATCAACAGTGTATGATGGTTCCCCTTTCTCCATATCCTCACCAGCATTTGTTACTGCCTGTCTTTTGGATAAAAGCCATTTTAACTGGAGTGGATGATATCTCATTGTGGTTTTCATTTGCATTTCTCTGATGATCAATGATATTGAGCACCTTTTCATACACCAGTTTGCCATTTGTATGTCTTCTTTCAAGAAATGTATATTCAGATCTTTTGCCTATTTTTAAATCAGATTATTTTTAAATCAGATTTTTTTTTCCTGTAGAGTTCTTTCTGGTTCTTAATCCCTTATTACACAGGTAGTTTGTAGGTATTTTCTCCCATTTTGTGGTTTATCTCTTCACTTTGTTGATTGTTTTCTTTGCTGTGCAGAAGGTTTTTAACTTGATGTGATTTATTCCTTTTACGGCTGGATAATATTCCACTGTATGGGAATACCACATTTTTGTTTATTCATTCATCAATTGATGAACATTTGAATTGTTTCCACTTGTAAGGCTATTATCCATAATACTGCTATTATAATACTGCTATGGAAAAGTTTTAGTGTAGACATATTTTTTTCAGTTCTCCTAGGTGAATCCCTGGAATTGCTGGGACATGTGGAAACTACGTTTAACAGTTTAAAGAACTGCCAGACTGTATTCCAAAGTGGCTGCACCATTTTACATTTCCATTAGCAATATCTGAGGTTTCTCTACAGAAAATATACCAGTTTCTCTACACCCTCACCACCATTTGTTATTGTCCATCCCTTTGATTATAGCCATCCTAACGGTGTGAAATTGTATCTCACTGTGGATTTGATTTACATTTCCATAATGACTAGTAATGTTGAGCATCTTTTTGTATACTTATTAGCCATTTGTACATCTTCTTTGGCTAGCCAATTTGTGCCTTCTGTGTCCTTGGGTTTTCATGAATATAATTTGTACACTTAGCCTACAAGTTCAGCTTTGGGTAGAATATTTAAATGAATGCTGGAACTTGGATTTTAAAATATAACTAAAAATTTCTTCTGTCATGACTTTTAAAGGATTTATAATTTAAAACTGGTATGTAAAACTAACCCAAATACCCAGTGTATTAAAACAAACAAACACACAAAACTTACTAATTCCTACCTTTTTGACCATCTGTAGCAGGCTCTTCCCTGACCACAGCAATTCAAGCCTGGTATTCTGTGTCCTCCAGATCTTTTCATTATCATACCTTCTCTGAAAGAGACATAAAATTAACCCATCGCCTTCAAATTTCCTGCTCCCACTTAGCTTGTATAGCCTCCCAACATGGGACTAAATAAACCATCTCATTCTCACATGACTTTCCTCCCTACTCTCTCCTGCTCGCTCTCAACTAGCTCAGTACCCTAATTGTTAGGCTGGGTACTCTAGAGATGAACCCTAAGATATACTGGTGAGATATAGCCCCTTCAGCATTCGGGGTGGTGTGATTCTGTTGTGCACTACACAGGACCTTAAGCATTCTGTCTCCTGGCTCTAAATGTTGAGTGTTCCCTCCTCAACATTGTGACACTGTGACAAACTAAAAAAAGACTCCATGCATTTCCACATGCCTGCACAGGGATGCTTTACCTGCTGTTGAGACCATGGTGCATCTCACACACAGATTCCAGGACATCCCTGTGTCTCTTCACACGCAGTTCTAGCAAACTAACAAACTAGTTGAGCTAATTGAGCCATGCCAAAGGAAGCAGAGCACAGCTACTAGTTTTGAAAACAATATCTTAATTCTGAAAAATGTGACAAGAAAAAGCAATAACAAAGGCTAAACTTAAAAAAAAAACTTTTTGAAACAACTATCAACAACGCTCTTAACTAGAGCTTGAAAGTTAAGCTCTTTATGTTTTCAAGCTCTAATATTGTGAAGGAAAATCATAAACTTCCATCTGGTTATACAACATATATTTTACATAGTATTATTTTAAAGTAATCATCAAAATGAGTATAAACATTTAACTTTATAAGGGATTATAAAAGGAGATCTTATATACTTGATTTTTAATGTATTCTCCTACACATCATACTTGCTATAGGTATTGGACACTTCCACTGTTGGGTTAGAAAGAATCTGTGCTGTGAGCACATGACAAAGACAGTGGAGCAGTTGCTACCATTGTTTATCACGGGAGATGCTCTGATTTGTATGCGTAATTCCATCAGTTGCTTTAACTCTACTGGGGAGAAGAGAAGCTAGCAGTAAAGCCAGGAGGACTCCATCACCATGGCATGCTGCTATATTAAGTGTTAATGCATATCAACTTTTCATACTTCTCTTTCAAGGTTTATTGCAACTTACATGCCCTTTGGTCCCAAATCATGGATGAAAGATAGCTGGCTTATATCAAGAAACTCTGTCTGAAAAGAGGCAAAAAAATCCATCTTTAGCAAGCAAAACAATTCAAATTTATGCATTAAAAAACATGTATTAGGTATAGCTGTGTGTAAATACTGTTTGGTGTGTTCCACAGACTACAGAGATCAATAATAATGGCATTGCCCTAAAAGAGTGCAGATTAGAAGTATATAAATAATGAAGACACACCCTACTAGATCTTCTAAATCTCAAAAGAGTGATGTGTGCCCTAAGATATAGAGATAAAATGCTCAAGAAGCTTGGAGAGAGAGAGAGTCTATTCCCAATATTCTTTCATGTTTGTTTTTGTTGCGCAGGGTGGAT